AGCGCTGCCGCGCTTCCCAAGCGGCGCACTGTAGCAGTGCGCCACCGGGCCGGCCCCTGTATTTTAGTTTTTAAAAGAGAGATTTCACAAGGCTTCCAAAATACTTAAAGGTACAGAATAAAATTTCCCCCAATACCTCTCCCCTGCCATCCTCATGTTCCTCCCCATCCGGTAATCACTCTTCTTCTTTTTTGGTCCAAATTCTTTTAGGGTTTCTTTCTGAAAACACAAGCAAATGTGAATACATATTCTTATTTTTGCCTCCACTTTCTATAGAAGAGAGCATTTCCTATATGTGGTGGAAACTTTGGCTGCACACACACAGGGAATCCTAAAAGCTTTAATGTCGGGCTTCACCCTAGACCAATTAGGTCAGAATTTCTGGGGTGGGGCTGCCTTTGTTATTTTTGAAAGCTCTCCAGGGAATCCTTGGGTTGAGGATCTCTGTTGAATCCACAGGTTTTCCACCAGCCTTTTTTTCATATAATGCATCTTAGAGAGTTTTGGGATTCGGCCCACAGAGAGTGTCCTTGTTGTTTTGATTGTGGAATTCTTGTTTAACCTTCCTCTGTTTATGGTATTTACGATCTTTTGCTGTGATGACCCATGCACAGACATCATATTGTACGCCCTGCAGCTATATCCGTGGGTTCAGGCTGGCGATTGCCTAGCCGAGGGTGAATGTGGCTGTGATTTTGCAGGGTCATGCCAGTGTGCCCCGCAGCAGTGCTCTGTCTGTTTATATCCTCAGCAGCTGTGTGCTTGAGGCCCAGTTCCCCTCAGTCTTCCCCAGCCTATCAGACTTCTGGATTTCATTCATGAGTGCCCCTCACCTCAGCGAGGATTAGTTTGCTTTCTCCTGTTCTGTGTGACGGGGGCATCTTGTTAGGTTGTGAGGACATTTGTGTTTCTTTCCTGTAACCCACTTGCTTGTGTTCTCCTTGCTTTTTGTTGTGAATTTGGTCCTTTTCTCATTGATTTCTTAAAGTTCTTTATTAGGAGATGAACGCTTTGCACTTGTATGATTTGATTTTTCCATGGAAACAGTCCTGGACTGCAAATTGGGCAGACCTGGGATTAAACCCTAGCTTATGCGACTCTGAGCACCTCTCCGGACTTCCCTGAGCCTCAGTTTCCTCATCTGTGGGATGGGGATCCTGCCTGCTGCATGGACTTGTTGGAGATTTATCACGAGACAATGTATGGTCAAGCCTCAGACCCAGGCCCTGGTGTGCGGAAGTTTGAGGAAATCAGAGGAGGCACTTCAGGGATACGTCTAGCCCTCCATTCATTTGGTACATTTAATAAGTGTACTGAACCCATGTGGGCCCTGTTCTAGGTGCTGGGCTGCTGGGAGGCCCCTAGACGTGACCCAGCCCACCATGTCAGGCAGTGTATCGGGATTCTAATTTCTCTACATCCTTACCCACACTTCTTATTGTCTGTGTTTTTGATTATAGCCATCCTGGTAGGTGGGGTGTGAGGTGTAGTATTTCATTGTGGTTTTGATTTGTATCTCCCTCATGCTTGATGATGTTGGACATATTTTCATGTGCTTATTGGCCATTTGTATACCTTCTTTGGAGTAATGCCTATTCAGATCCTTTGTCCATTTTTTAATTGGGTCGTTTGTCTTTATTATTGAGTTCCCGTTGTTTATGTTTTGTGGGTACAAGTGCCTTATTGAACATATGATTTGCAAAAATTTTCTCCTACTCCGTGGGTTGTCTTTTCACTTTCTTAATGTGCCTTTTAAAGCACAAGAGTTTCTGGTTTTGAAAAGGTCTATTTTATCTATTTTCTTTTGTTGCTTATCCTTTTGGTGTCTTAACTAAGAAACTGCTGCCTAATCTGAGGTCGTGAAGATTTACACTTATATTTTCTTCTAAGAGTTTTCTAGGTTTAGCTCTTACATTTAGATCTTTGATCTGTTTTGAGTTGATTTTGGTATAGGATGTGAGGTTTGCAGCGTGTGTTGAAGGAAGAGTCTCAGCTTTGTTGATGGGGTGGAGAAGAGAATGGAGGTCAACTCAAGGACGTTGGCCTGCCCAGCTGGGGGATGGGCATAGCTGGAGAGGAGCAATTTTGGAGAGGAGGGTTGGAGAGACCGGCTTTGAGCATGTGCATCTGAGATGAGTGTGAGCTGCCAAGTGGGAATGTTGAATGGGCAGTGGGATCCACTTGTCTGGAGTCCCAGCTGAGAGACAGAATGGGGAATCATCTCGGTGTAGGTAGGGTTTATTTAAAGCCATGTTTTGGGGGCATGAAGGACATCTCAGAGGGGATGACATAGCAGAAGAGAAGGTTCTGTGGCTGGCCCAGGACATGTGGGGAAGCTGAAAAGGAACAGCCAGGGAGGTAGGAGGAAAACCAGTGGGTTTCTCTCCCAAGGGATCAAGAAAAGAGGCTGTGAGGGAAGGGATCAAGAATCCAGCATTGTTCTTCCTGATGCTCTGTGCTCTTAAGCAGATGCCTCCTCTCTCTGGGCCTTCCTTTCTTTGTATGGGGAGAGGGTGAGGCATGCAAAAAACAAATTCTGGAGTCCTGTATTTACTGACCTGTGAATTTTTCCTCTATATATAACTGAGTGGAAAAAATGGCAGGATTCAGATGAGATGTACTAGGGGTACCTTCCTATTCATGCACCATTTTCTCTATATAACTGTGTGTGTGTGTGTGTGTGTGTGTGTGTGTGTGTGTGTGTGTGTGTGTGTGTTTGGATGCATGGAGAGATGTTTAAATGGAGAGATGTTTAAAATAAGGCCACCAAGAATTACCCCTGTCAGTAATGAGGCTGCCTAACATTGATGGAGGGCAGTCCACATGCCAGGTGTGGCAGATACCACCGTGAGTGAAGCCAACTGCCCAAAACTTGTGCATGTCTGCCCCCTGGTGGCTGTACTGTGTCGTCCGCTTTCCTTGTGCCGTTCCTTACTTGGATCTCCCACGCACCCTAGAAGCTGGGTGCTGTTATTACTGTTCCTTTCCCAGATGATTGAGGCTCCTGGTGGCTGTACTGTGTCGTCCGCTTTCCTTGTGCCGTTCCTTACTTGGCTCTCCCACGCACCCTAGAAGCTGGGTGCTGTTATTACTGTTCCTTTCCCAGATGATTGAGGCTCAGATAGATTAATGCACTCACCTCAGGTCACACAGTTATTAAATGGCTGAGTCTAGACCACTTGAACCCAGACCCCAAACCTGCTGCGTCCACCTGTTACCTCCTGTCATTAAGTTAGGGGGATTTCTGGCAGTTTTTCTTCTTTGCCCTTTTTGGTTCAGAATGGACTCTCTCAGTGTGACATATTTTTCCTATAAATGGGAAAGACCCTGGTAAAGTCCTTTTCTTGTGTCCTGTGTCTCAGGTGCCACCGCGGGACCTGGAGAAGGAGGGTGCCCTCCAGGATAATGAAAAACTGCTCCGGCAGGTGTCCCCTGTGGCTTTGGGCCCCCGGAGGAGCCACAGCTTCTGCAAGGACAAGCGGAGCGGGCACTTTGTGGTAAGTGTCATGAGCATGGCAGAGAGGAACTCACAGGCAATGTTGGTTGTCAGATATGGCTGTGAACGTGGCATGCGGGGAGTCAAGGCTGGTCCAGGCCTGAGGGGGTCAAGCGTGGGCAAGCCACTGCCAAAAATCTGGTGTTGCCTGACTAGCTGTGCTGGTTCATGACGTGAAGGGTGTTTGGTGATTCTGCTGGGGAAGTCTTCCCTCCTCTTGGGTTTCCAGCTCAATGGAATGGCTGGAGAGGTAGCCCCAGCTGCCTGGCATAGAGCTGTTAAGAGAACATGTGCTGGGGTTTGAAAGTCATGGGTTCAAATCCCAGCTCCGTCTCCTCTCAGTCTCTTTGAGATTTTGAGCAATTTACTTAATTTCTCTGCACTTCAGTTTGTTCACCCGGAAAACAGTATATTGACCCCTGTTTCTTCAGCTTTGTTGCAAGGATGGAGTAAGATTGTGTGTAGGACCCAGCATGCTCGGGTAATGCGCTTGGTAACTGGCAGCTGTGATGATAACAGGAGACAGTGGGAAGCTGGTTCTGGAGCCAGATTGCCCAAGTTCAGATTGTAGATCTACATACATTCATGTGTGCCCTTGGATAGGCCTCTGGCCTCAGTTTCCTCATCTGTAAAATGGGGATGGTAATAATAGTATCTGCTTCACAGGGCTGATGTGGGGCTCAGATGATATCATGCATGAAGTGCTTAGCCTGGTCCCAACACACAGCAAACACTTAGTAAGTGTTATCGTTACTTTATTATCGTGTACGTTTTCGAGTCTCCATTTAGCTGTTGCTTCGCTCTGACTCCTTGTGCCAGTACTTCCTGTCTTGCAACCTGTTTCCTCACTTGTGGAAGGAGGTGGATAAGTGGTGAGCAAGGCCCTGGGGAAGNGTGTGTGTGTGTGTGTGTGTGTGTGTGTGTGTGTGTGTGTGTGTGTGTGTGTGTGTGTGTTTGGATGCATGGAGAGATGTTTAAATGGAGAGATGTTTAAAATAAGGCCACCAAGAATTACCCCTGTCAGTAATGAGGCTGCCTAACATTGATGGAGGGCAGTCCACATGCCAGGTGTGGCAGATACCACCGTGAGTGAAGCCAACTGCCCAAAACTTGTGCATGTCTGCCCCTGGTGGCTGTACTGTGTCGTCCGCTTTCCTTGTGCCGTTCCTTACTTGGATCTCCCACGCACCCTAGAAGCTGGGTGCTGTTATTACTGTTCCTTTCCCAGATGATTGAGGCTCAGATAGATTAATGCACTCACCTCAGGTCACACAGTTATTAAATGGCTGAGTCTAGACCACTTGAACCCAGACCCCAAACCTGCTGCGTCCACCTGTTACCTCCTGTCATTAAGTTAGGGGGATTTCTGGCAGTTTTTCTTCTTTGCCCTTTTTGGTTCAGAATGGACTCTCTCAGTGTGACATATTTTTCCTATAAATGGGAAAGACCCTGGTAAAGTCCTTTTCTTGTGTCCTGTGTCTCAGGTGCCACCGCGGGACCTGGAGAAGGAGGGTGCCCTCCAGGATAATGAAAAACTGCTCCGGCAGGTGTCCCCTGTGGCTTTGGGCCCCCGGAGGAGCCACAGCTTCTGCAAGGACAAGCGGAGCGGGCACTTTGTGGTAAGTGTCATGAGCATGGCAGAGAGGAACTCACAGGCAATGTTGGTTGTCAGATATGGCTGTGAACGTGGCATGCGGGGAGTCAAGGCTGGTCCAGGCCTGAGGGGGTCAAGCGTGGGCAAGCCACTGCCAAAAATCTGGTGTTGCCTGACTAGCTGTGCTGGTTCATGACGTGAAGGGTGTTTGGTGATTCTGCTGGGGAAGTCTTCCCTCCTCTTGGGTTTCCAGCTCAATGGAATGGCTGGAGAGGTAGCCCCAGCTGCCTGGCATAGAGCTGTTAAGAGAACATGTGCTGGGGTTTGAAAGTCATGGGTTCAAATCCCAGCTCCGTCTCCTCTCAGTCTCTTTGAGATTTTGAGCAATTTACTTAATTTCTCTGCACTTCAGTTTGTTCACCCGGAAAACAGTATATTGACCCCTGTTTCTTCAGCTTTGTTGCAAGGATGGAGTAAGATTGTGTGTAGGACCCAGCATGCTCGGGTAATGCGCTTGGTAACTGGCAGCTGTGATGATAACAGGAGACAGTGGGAAGCTGGTTCTGGAGCCAGATTGCCCAAGTTCAGATTGTAGATCTACATACATTCATGTGTGCCCTTGGATAGGCCTCTGGCCTCAGTTTCCTCATCTGTAAAATGGGGATGGTAATAATAGTATCTGCTTCACAGGGCTGATGTGGGGCTCAGATGATATCATGCATGAAGTGCTTAGCCTGGTCCCAACACACAGCAAACACTTAGTAAGTGTTATCGTTACTTTATTATCGTGTACGTTTTCGAGTCTCCATTTAGCTGTTGCTTCGCTCTGACTCCTTGTGCCAGTACTTCCTGTCTTGCAACCTGTTTCCTCACTTGTGGAAGGAGGTGGATAAGTGGTGAGCAAGGCCCTGGGGAAGCTGTCTCCTCTGGGAGCCTCAGTGTACCCAGGTGAGTTCCAGGGCCTCGCCACCTCCAATGATTTTCTGTGATTTTCTTTCTTTTTTTTTGACTTCAGTTCCATGATATTTGGAGATCTGCTAGTTTTACACTTGCTCAGGAAGTCTCTTCTGGGTCTCCTTTCCCAGATGGGGGCATCTAAGATAGGCAGCTCTTTAACAAGGCAATGCTAGTGCTGCTCACGAGGGCCTTTTTGATTGCACAGCTCCACGTGTTTCAGCGAGACTTGGGCCTGGTCTCATGAGTTAGAGACACAGGATCACACATTTAAATCCCACGTCCATCCTTTCCAGCTTTATGGCCATGGGCAAAAAACTTCACTTGCCTGAACCTCGATTTCCTCTTCTGTAAAATGGGGGTGAAGAAGATGCTCTGTCAGGGTTTGTGCTAGGACCTGATGGAGAACAGCCACAACAGAGTAAAAGAGCCTGACTGAAGGGCTGAGGCGATCCCGGCCAGGCTTCTGCTGAGCAGCCCTGGGAAGTCTCCTCACGGGCCCAGATCCCAGCCACAGACTCACACACATTTGAAACCTGCCGGATTGTTTTGCTAAACATTCTCTTCCACTGATTTCTCTCTCACCCTTTTCTCCATTCCCTCTCAGGTGGCACCGACTCAGCTTATCTGATTGTACTTGAACTTTTGTGTGTGTGTGAAGATAAAGGTTATAGGCAGCAGAGCATTTAAAACCTGTCTCTTTGTAGTCTCTGCTTGCTGGCATCCTCCCTGGCCACCCAGCTCCTCTTCTTTCACTCTCTGTCATTGAGGAGCCTTTGTTCTTGAAGTCCTTGGGCAGCTTGCCTTGGCTCCCTCCTTCTGGCCTCTGAGGCCCCTGTCCTGCCGCTGCCTGCTTGATTTCCTCCTCTCCGGAGGTGGGTGAGTGGAGGGACTTAGCCCACACCCAGTAGGGCTGGGGCCTCAGACCTCATTTCCATGCTTTCAGGCCTCACGCCTGCAATTCTGGGGAGTGACCACAAGGGGTAGGTGGTGTTCAGCTCACTTCCTGGTGGCTCCAACAGCCCAACTAGGAGGGACCTTAGCATTGGGCTCGGGAAGCTGAAAAAGTGGGTTTGAATTCCAGCACTTCCACTGTGTGACCTTGGGCAAGTGACTTGATGGATCTCATTGAGCCTCGACTCTTCTTCTATAAGATGAGGATGGTCCTATCTGACCTCAAGAGTAGTTTTGTGAGCAGTAAATGAAATGACCCAACACAGTAAATGCTCAGTTAATGCCTCAGCTACAGTGGTGGCTTTTCCTTCTTTCTTTGCTTCCTCCTTTCCTTATCCTTTCCTTCTCTTCCACGTTTTCTTTCCTACCTCCTACTTCTCCTCCTCCCCTTTCTCCCTCCTCTCCTCTCCCTTTTTTTCTCACCTATCCAACTCTCTCTTTAGAAATGGGGAAACTGAGGCCCAGAGAGAGGACCTGGATTAGCCAGGGTGACCCACCAGATGGGGACTGGGGTTCGAGCACCTGCTGGCTGCCCCTTCTCTCTGCCTGCATTTTGTACCTGGTGAGGTGGAGAAGGGGATTCCTGATAGATGTTGTCTGCTGTTATTCCTGTCGCTGCTGCAGTTAATGACTCTGTGCTGTTGCGTTCCCATTTATGTCCAGGTCCATCTCCATTTTTTGAGCCTGTGCCTCAGGCTTTGTCAATCCCCACTCCAGTTCCATCTTAGAGAGCGTGAATCCAATTTTGCAGAGAAGAAGGTGGCTCAGAGGGGTTAAGCAACTTGCCCAAGGCCACACAGCACCTGGGAGCTGTGATGGAAACCATGCCTGTCTCACTTCCAGTATTGGACCTGGGCCCTTCCTGCCATGGGACTGGGCTTTTGGCCTGCCGCCAGCCCCCGCAGCCCTGCTCACCCCTTGGGCCTGCAGAGCTCCATGTATTAGCTTCATGAGGAAACAAGATACCCCCGAGCGCTGGGACACCTCCTGGGGCTGAGAATGTGATATTTGTTCAGCCGGGGGTTGGCTGCCAGCTGTTCTGGTGCTGCCACCCTCCGCAGGGTGCCTGGGACCTGCCAGGGCTGCTGCCAAGCTGGTTTGCATAGCCCCACCCACAGCTGGCTGAAGCACAGGCTGGTCAGGGCCTGAGCAAGCGGTCAGGCCAGCCTGGCCCTGCCACTTGCTGGAGGCCATGAGCAAGTGTGTTGACCCCTCGGGGCCTCTCTTCCTCCTCCGTAAAATGGGGAATAATAGGAATAACAGTGCCTAGTGCTTATAGTGCTTACACTGGTGTAGCTACAATTATTATCCCCACTGTACAGATGGAGAAACTGAGGCTCAGAGCCATTAAGTACCTGTCCCAAGTTCTGGTTCTAGAGTCTGTACTGTTAACCCTCTGTCGCACTGCTACCTATGCTACCTCGGAGTGTGGAAGGAGGATGGAAGTGAAAGGAGGTGATGCTTATAAAGCACTTAGCACAGTGCTGGCACAGAGCGAC